TGAGTACGTAGTCTCGCAGTCACGTATATATTATACACATATAGACAACAAACGAGCAGCTTGCATTGTTAAAATTAACACGCCGCAGTCGAAATAATGTTTATAGATGTTAATATGATGTATATATATTTGTTTTTTGCCGTTTATTTGCTTACGTTAGTATATATTATAATATAATGTCGTAGGTAGTGTACAACGTTTTAAATTTGGTCGTGGTTAGGTCGTTTCGATTATATTATATTATATTTTAAAAAGTCTCGTCCGCCATCATGCACGGGCGCAATACTCTCGCACGTCATCGACGCGTATACGTGATATTATTATATCTATATCGGAGAAAAAAAATTAAATCTCCGTATATTATATATTACACACGCACACGCGTATATTATGTACACAACAGTCGGGCTTTAATGTAAATCGCGTATATGTATAGGCATTTTTATAATAATATTATATATAGTGTCGCCGCCGTCGTGTCTTGCGCACACAATATTGTTATTATAATATRTGTGTTATTCTTATTATCGTACCTACGCGTTTTTATTGTAGCTTTCAGTTYTCACCCCGTAAAACACTGTAGTAGCGCGTTAATTTTTAAATTCACATATCGATATCATAAAAATGTTTTGTCTAGATATTATAATATGTAAGTTAAGAATTTAAAAATTATATTATATACGGTTGAAAACTTGTAATAAAAACATATTGCTCGTAAAACCTATATTTCACTTATTATTATCTATAGACAGTAGACACTATACCTACGTTGTTTTCTAAATTCTAGTCATGTAACATCTTCTTAAATGCATTATAAATCCAATAATATTTTTAGACAGTTACTTATTTATGTTAATATAATATCATGAATTTCTATACGTTTTGAATAAGATAATTTTCCTATATACGTTCAAGCTCTGTCGGAGTCTTAAAAAATCCACATTCTCTACTTTCCCGCTTTATTACCGCCAATGCACACGACGCAGACTATCTCTCTCTTTCTCTTTCTTTTCATCTTCATTCCATCCAATTTGACGTCAAATAACATTTTGTCTTGGATATCATTCGTATGACGATGGTTCATTTTCAAGTATAGCATATTACCTCGTACATAATTTATATAATATTGTAACATAATAATATAATAATGCCTATCCATCACTCTATTTTTGAAAACGCTACCTAAATACCTATATGCGCATTATACTAACCGGCGTGCACCATCTTTGTTTCAACAGCCGACAGTTACCAGTACCAGCTGCAGTCCATGTGGCAAAAGTGCTGGAACACTAACCAGAGTCTCGTTCACAACCTGCGGTTCAGAGAGCGCGGTCCGCTCAAGTCGTGGAGACCGGAAACGATGGCCGAGGCCATACTGTCCGTGCTCAAGGAGGGACTGTCGCTGTCACAGGCCGCCCGCAAGTACGACATACCGTATCCGACTTTCGTGCTGTACGCCAACCGGGTGCACAACTTGCTCGGTCCTTCCGCTGACGGTGGCGCAGGTAAGCGGCGCTACAGACGCATTTCTGCAGACAATAAATATATATTATATAATAACAATATTATCCATCATCGTTGTCCCCGATCCACACGAGGCTATTATAGTACCTATTACAACCTACTCCATGCTAGGACATACCCGTAGCTAGTGCAGCTGGACCAGATCTAGCTTCGTTTTTAACCCATCATATCGTCTCAAGTCTATACAGGGTRGTGTAACTACCTAGTTTCGTATAATTATGGACGGGATTCAATTTTCCGCGAGCTAGTTGCGCCATATATTCCCACCACCACCAAATGGTTTGAAATTCCTATAGCGTACCTATCAGGCGAATGATGCAAACATTGTAAACCGCTCTAATATAGGCCTGTGCCGAGCTGCCAGGAGAGTCACCGGAAATAGGTAACTACCGTACTAGCTTGAAATACTAGCCTCGTGTAGACCGGAGCGTTATATTATATACTCATCTATACGCCAGCCACACGATAATAATTATAATAATTGTATATATTATTGTGTACGTGTTTATACCATATACGTGTACGTATATTATGCGTGCCATATTTAATGTGTATATATGTACATTGTACAATATATAAAATATTATAATTTATTATTGTATATTATAATTTCTCTTCTATCGTAATCAAAGTGCCGCCGCACCGTGTATATCATTATATCGACGATTCGTATATTATAATATATATAATATAATATTTCGATATCATAACGTTTACAAATTATAATATATACACCGTACTTTATAACGTGAACAATTAAACGTTTCCAGATCGAATTGCACAATAATACAATTTGTTATATTGTACATAATTATTGCATATATATTATACGCATCATGACACATGTATTATATTTATATAAAATGTATACAGAGTGTGTCCTCGTAAATATTTATATTATATACCTGTACAACCTTTTATATAATAGCACTGTATATATACTGACTAGTACGTCATTATTTCATTAAATATATTATATTATTTAATATCATATAGTTAGGTATACCCATTTCTTTCTGCCAACATATATATTGGGCCGTTTTGAATTGCCAAGAAACTCAAAATCGAAAAAATTTTACATTTATCAATTTTAATTATTGGTGGTTAGGTATATACAGCATGAATTTCACCAAATTATATTTCAAAAATATACAAATGCAATGAAAAAAAAAAATAACGAAGACATACACGACAAGACACTCTGTATATTTATATTATATTATATTATATATATATAATAATAACCGCTGAACTCTTTATAATTTGTTTAATGTAATTTTTTTATGTAATTAATTTTATGACGACATTGCTTATCGTCTATCGGTCTATTATACGTATTTCTTTTTATTATTTAAATGAATACCAATAACAATATATTATTATAATAATATTCACAAAAAATATACGTATTTTATGACGACATTGCTTATCGTCTATCGGTCTATTATACGTATTTCTTTTTATTATTTAAATGAATACCAATAACAATATATTATTATAATAATATTCACAAAAAATATACAAAAAATTCCGAGTATATCGTTTGAACTCTGTACTCGAAAGATTTAATATAAATAATTTATATTGTGCAATGTGTACGTAACACTAATATTATGTATGCTGACAGTTATTAAAAAAAATATATATTTTTTATAATATGTAAATGTCAACGTTTTTCTTATAATGAAAATAATAATAAAATATAGTCAATATGTTCTTGTTGAATTTCCAAACAAAGATCTTCAAAATTATATAATTCTGGTCATATTGTTTATGATTTTTATCTCGAGTTGCTTAATTCATAATTCGATTGTATTTAAATTTGAATATTATATTTTGATAAATTTTCTGCAAAATAAATCATAGCTTAATTAAGAGACATAATTATTTCTATAACATTGAGTGATATTTAAACAATTTAATTGATAAAAAAATAATGAGAAATTAAATTAATATAGTTAAAAAACAAACCAATCTGTAAAACTTAAATACTTTACATAAATCAACGTTATATATAGTATTACAACAATTGCTTTGCAGTGGTTTAATAACATTTGACGGATATATTTATTATATTATAAAAATGTGATTCTAKATCAATATTAAACCACAGGTAAAATATTTATGTAATGATTAATAATCTAAGAACATTAAGAACCAGTTGATATTTTGTATTTATTTTGATGAACATTCATAGTAAATACTTTTTTTAATGTAGGTATTATTTTCAGACCTATTTTGGTCATTTTCATATTAACCCAATTTGTATTCATTATTGTGTTCTAGACTTTTTCAAATTCCTACAATATTAATTAAAATTATTTTCTTAAAATTCTCTAAACAAATATTGATTTAACAATACGCTAATCAAACATGGTTATAATAATGAAAAGACTAAAAGTAATAAAGTGTTTATATTAGCATTTTTTGTAGGTATACAATATCCATGATTGAATTTTAAAAATATTTTGACCTTTTTGTGAGGTGTTAATTTATAAAAATTTTAATTTTTATATTTAAKATTTAATTTTTTTACAATATTCTTCATAAGTTTTTCTACCTCCTTATATCAAACAAAAAGTTTACTGGAAAGTCGCATTCATTTTTGATGAGCGTTTGAAGTTTTTATGGCATTGGATAATCACCTGTAAATTAACTATTTTTACTCGATCGATTTTTAATATTTTGTTTTAATTCAAAAACGTATAATCGTAGATAATTAAAGTATTCATAATCTTTTTTTTCTTCTATTCTTTATACAATTTTCAAAAAAGGTTCCTTATAATTTTTTGGTATACCTATTTATATATATATATATATATTTTTTTTTTTTATAAGCATTTGAAGTTAAAATTTAAAAAAATTGCCCCAAACCACAATAATTTATTAATTACTGCTAATGCTAATGCAAATTAGCTCTTTTAGCTAACGCTTAAAAATATATACAAGGTTTCACATAAGTAGCGCATACAAAAAATCCAAAAATCTAAAAAAAAATATATCAAATCAACTTTTTAATAGACATTTAAGTTGAAATTTTGATGAAATTTGATATTTAATTGAAAAATAATTATAATAGTTATTTTGTTGTAATTTAATTATATATTACGTTGGGATTTGATACTTAATCGAATATTATTATATTTTATTTATACAATTATACATTTTCAAAACATTTAGATTCATTTTATGCTTTTGCCTATATTCATAGTTTATACTACATTATTATAAATAGTAGAATAAATTACTATAATAAATAATAATTAATAGCAATATAT